CGGAGGGGCGGTTTGGGACATGAGGGGTCGATCCCTGAGGGACATTCTGGGGGATGAGGGGTCGTCATCCCTGAGGGGCGGTTTGGGGGATGAGGGGGCAAATCCCTGAGAGGGAGGAGGGGCCATCCCTGAGGGAGTTTTGGGGATGAGGGTGCATTTCCCTGAGGAGCAATAGAAGGGAGTGAGGGGATCAGTCCCTGCGGGGCAGTTTTGGTGGGCGATCCCTGAGGCACCGTTTGGAGGATGAGAGAGAGATCCCTGAGGGGCAGTTTGAGAGATGAGGGGGCGATCTCTGAGGAGCATGAGGAGCCATCTCTGAGGGGCAGATTTAGGGATTAGGGGGCAATCCCTGATGGGAATGAGGGGCCATCCCTGAGGGACAGTTTTGAGGGTAAGGGTGCATTTCCCTGAGGAGCAATAGAGGGGAGCAGTCAATCCCTGAGGGGCAGTTTTGGGTGAAAAGGGGGCAATTCTCCAACAATGTGCAGGAGTGAGAGGAGCAATCCCTGAGGGGCAGATTTAGTGATGAGGGGGTGATCCCTGAGGGGCAGTTTTGAGGGATAAGGAGGTGATTCCCTGAGGAACAATGTGGAGGAGTGGCGGGAGGAATCCCTGAGGGGCAGTTTGGGAGACAAGGCAGAAGCTCCTCATTTCCCTGAGGAACAATGCGGGGGGGGTGGAGAGGAGCAATCCCAAAAAGGCAATTTTGGGGGATAAAGGGGCCATCCTGTGAAGGGGGTCATTCTGAGGAGGACGAGGGGTGAGGAGACACAGAGAGCAGTTTGTGAAGGGATGAGAAATGGGAGTGGAATTCATGGAGGAGAGACTGGGACTTGTGGTGCTGAAGGGGGTCAGTGCTGGGGGTGAGGAGCCAGGGAGGTTTGGGCTGTGGAGAGGGGCAGTGGGTGGGATTGAGGTGAAGGGGGGGCTCTCCCTTCATGCTCTCCCAAACCAGCAGACCCAGGACCTTTGCCATCCACAGACCTGCTTTGTGCCCAGCGGTTCCTCACAATATTCCCTCAGAGTCCCTGAGTGCTGCCGCTGACACAGGCCTGGAGCACCGCGGGGACACCACATTGCCAGGATCACCACAGGTACCCCCCTGCCCAGAGCAGGGCGCACAGCTCTCCTCGAGGACAGGCTGACCCCTGGCAGCCTGATCCCTCAGCTGGGCATGCCCTGCCGCTCCCAAGATCCTGCTGGATCTGCTCTGTCCCCACCATGGAGCGTCCTCGCCAGGGTGAGGTGGAGATGGAGCAGGGGCAGGAACAGGCTGCGAAGCAGAAGATTAATTAAGAGGCTGTGCCACTGCCTCGCTGTGATCTCAGCAGCTGAACCGTTAAAGTGATTTATTCTTCGCTGGGTAATTACATCCCCCCTCTCCCCGTTATCCGTCCCCTGATCTGTGTTGCGCTCACACATCCATTCCTGTGGTCTGGGATTCAACATGTCAGCGGGGAGATGGCCTGGCTGCCCCTTCTGCTTCCTGTGCCTCGGTGTTACACCTCCTGTGACACACACTGGTGTGCTGTTCGTACAGACTGGGTGCTGTTCGTACGGACTGGGTGCTGTTCGTACGGACTGGGTGCTGTTTGTATGGACTGGGTGCTGTTTGTATGGATTCAGTGCTTTCACACCCTCCTACAGCTCCAGGATCTTACCATGAACTGCCACACCACCAATTCTGATCAAGAGCTTCCAACCTTGCTTTGTATTTCTGTTACCAAATGCCCATTTCTGCTTCACCTCCTGCAGTTTTTAAAGCTGTGCTTCACGTGGGCAAGTTTGGGAAATTCCTGTTTCCCATGGAAACACTTTGAGTATTTTAGAGTATTCATTTAGAGTATTAAAAAATATTAATTTTTAGAGGAACGGTCTTTTTTTGCTGTGAAACCTTTCATTTGTTGTTACTAACCGAGCATTTAGCCTCCCGCAGCGCTGCAGCCTTTCCCCTCTCGGGCCGTTTGCTCAGCACATCGCACCCACACGCTCCCCCTGTGCCGGCCCAGCCGCTTCCACACGTTCTCAGCGTCGCATTCTTCCCTCGGGCCGCTCCTGCCTGTCCTCCCGCCCTCTCCTTGCCCGCGCCCGTCCCGCTCCGGGATCCTCCTTTCGGGCCAGGGACATTAGAGGGAGCTGAAGCCTCGCTGTGCCCGCCTGGATGCTCGGACAGGGGGGTCCGGAGCCTCATCCCTGTGTGTGTGTGTGTGTTTTAAAAGCAGGGTGAAGCAAGAGGGAACACGCTTTTCCTAAAGGAGGAAGAAGATTATCCGCCCTCTATTCACAAAGGGTTTTCCTCCCGGTGTTGCTGTTTTCTCCGAGTGTGGCAGAGCAGGGATGCACTGTGAGATCTGGCGGCAGGAGTGGGCTTTGATGAGGGATGCACTTCACAGTTTCGTTTGCTCCAAGACTAAGTTTGGAGGCCACCAAGCAGTGCAGGCTCCTTTGGTTTGGCACAGCCTTACTGGCAGATACATTTTACATTTTCCAGTGACATGCTTTCTCTGTGTTGCATTTTGCACTGGCAGTTTTTTCATGCAAAGCAATCGGCACTTGAGGGGTGAGCATGTTCCTTTACCTGCAAGAGCAGTCAGGACAGAAACCCCCAACCACCAAAAGTGGGTTTTTACACAGTTAGACTGTGCTGCACCTCTGGCAGGAGGCAGTGCGTGGTGGGCACTGGCTCAGGGGTCCCACATTCCTCCAGCTCCAGGAGTGCTTCAGGAATGTCCCCTGCCCAGGAGGTGCAGGGACACCCAGCCCGACCCGTGCTGGTGGGGAGGGAGGTGACGGAGGCTGAGGCTTCTCCACCACAGCCTTCCCTGCTCCCACATCCCAGCAAATCCACGGCCACCCTCAAGCCCCTGTGGTGTCTCTGAGGGGCTGGTGTGCCTTGGCAGGGAGGATGTGTGGTTCTCCCTCACACAGGGAGGGGATTTGGCATCCACTCGATCCCTCTCTGTCCGCTGCTGCTCTCAGCTCCACCACCCTGCTCCGTGCCAGTGCTCCAGACACAGCCCGGTCATTTGGCACATGATGAACCACACGAGGCTGATTTATCTTGTGGCAGGAGCCAGACGCTCAACTCAGGTCCAGTGCAAGGAAACACGGCCCTGGAAATCAGGGATAATCCGGATGGCACAGAAATCCCTGTGGGACGCTCGCCTCGGCCCCGCGGGATGGGGTGAGGTGTTTGCTGCACAACCCTGGAGCAGCAGCGGGGAAACACAAACACTGGTGCCATGCAGGAGACTGCACCGTCCCAAAAATAGACCTGGGAGCACAGGGTCGTTATTTGTGGATCCGACAGCCAACGGATTCCTCCAGAGATCGGGCACTGGGCAGAGGCAGCGCTGTTCTGGCTGGGGCAGGGGGAGCAGAAGCCTCACTCCAGCAGTCGGATCGCTGGGGGTTCAGCTGGTGGGGATGGAGCACTGATCATATCCAGGGCTGGGAATAAAGGGTCTGGGGTGCACAGGGCTCCCAGGAGCTGGAATGAAACTGCTGGCACTGGGGTGCTCAGAGCTGGATGGTGGCTCCCGAGGCCTGTGTGACCCCACAGGGAGCTGAAATCCTGTGGGAAAGCCAAACCTGCTCCACGTGGCTCTCCAAAAGCCACCCTTCACCATCCAAAGCCACAAACAAGGCTGACCAAGGGCTTGTCCAGGCAGCAGAGGAAACCTGTGCCACGTCACACTAATGCCACCAAGGCTTGTCCTGGTGCTGAGGGACCAGCTGGCCACAGGCAGAGCCACACACAGGGCTCTGCCAGGGAGCACTCACTCCCTGAGACACCTGCAGAGGGAGAACCTACACACACCAGCCACAGAGTGACACCTCCTGCCAAAAAAAATCCCAAATTGGTTTGTTTTGGTTGCCTGCACAGGAGAGGTGACTCACTGCAAAGCACACAGGGGTTCTTTCTTTCTCTGCCCCCTCCCAGAAATCATTTTAAAAGCACAAAAAGGAAAACTAAACCTTTTTTTTGATCCAAGACAGCCCTTCTCACCTTCCTCTCCACGTGCCCAGCAAGGGTTTGGGGCTAATGGATGGTCCAGGAGGGTGGGCTGGGCTGAGGGAATGCACATTCCTCACTTCAGTGAGGAAAGGAAGAAAAGAAAACTTTCGTTTCTGGGCAGATAGTGAACCAAAACTTTGATTAATCACCTGGACCATCCTCTGTCACCAGCAGAGCCAGGCTTGAACCCAGAATACCGAGGACTCTTCATGTGCCCTCTTGCCCACCCCCCTCGGTGCCCCGGGCTAACCCAGGTGTGACCCCAGAGCCACCCAGACCCCTTTGGGACCCGCTGGCTCCGTCAGATCCAGAGAACTGGCCCAATCCACCGTGTCCTCACGGCCTGGCTCCCCTGCACCCCCCAGCTCTGCAGTGACCCCCCTGTCCAGGCCAGCGTGGGTGGCATCTCCTCTGCTCCTCTGCAGGGCTTTTCTCCACTGCAAATCCATGCCAGGGTATTTATAGTGCCCTTATCCCGGGGGAGCCTATTTTGGGCCGATGCTCAGGCCCTGGAGCAGCGCAGGTTATTTTAACCCCGCGCTGGGTTTATTTTCAGGGTTGCCCTTTCCCCGCACGTGCTCCGGGATGGGATCCAACTGCCCGGGCGCTGCTGGGGCTGGGGGAGGCAGGGAAGGGGCAAAGAGGGGCCCACAGAGGAATTCCAGGGATTCAAACCTGAACCAGCCTCTGCAGCAGAGCTGCCTTTGGCACAGCACCCGCCTGGGACCCACCTGGAACCAGGGAAGGTGGATTTTCTGCGGGATAACCCATGAGCAAAGAGCAGGAGAGGAGAGGGTTCTGGGTGGGGAGACAAGAGGGGCAGGAGAGCCAGGAGCTGGATGCTCCTAAAATGCCCAAGG